GCCTGTGTTGGGTCTTCGTTGCTGCCTGCGGGCCTTCTCAGGGCAGTGGATTCTGTTGTTGTGGAGCACAGACTCTAGGCACGCTGGTTTAGTTGCTGCGGGGCATGTGGGATCTTCCCCGACCAGGGCTCGAACCCGTGCCCCCTCCACTGGCAGGCAGATTCTTAACCACTGCGCCACCAGGGAAGTCCCCACCCAGTGTTTCTTAATGGATACTTCAAAATGAAACAGTTTGAGATCTTCACATTTGGTTGCTGCATTTTTATTTAATTAATAACTGTCTTGGCCATTTTTCATCTGGTAAAGCAACCTAACCAGGAAATATTCAGGGAAGCATTACTCACCCTACTGCCAATAAATTAGAACATGGCAACTGAAGACATCTGAGTTTGGTTGGTCCTTGATCTTTTCATGGACCATTAGGAATAATTTCCACAGCGTTCTTGCAAGTGGAGGAAAAAGGTGGAAATGCTAAAAAAAAATTGAGTCCAACAGAGAAGGCGACCAGGGAATTGGTTATGCTTTGACTGAACTAGAGCTGCCTTCCCCCAGCTAGAATCAAGTTCAAATGCTGACTGCCTTGTTGACTGTGGTCTTGGGTGAGGGATTTCTCCTCTCTGAGCTTCAGTTTCCTCTTTCTTTCTTTCTTTTTTTTTTTTTTTTGCGGTACGCGGGCCTCTCACTGTTGTGGCCTCTCCCGTTGCGGAGCACAGGCTCCGGACGCTCAGGCTCAGCGGCCATGGCTCATGGGCCCAGCCGCTCCGCGGCATGTGGGATCTTCCCGGACCGGGGCACGAACCCGTGTCCCCTGCATCGGCAGGTGGACTCTCAACCACTGTGCCACCAGGGAAGCCCTTTCTTTCTTTATTTTTCAGCCAAAGATGCTTCTACTTTATTTTCAATTCTCACCATTACAAGTGTTGGGTTCTGCGAGATCATAGTTAAAACACTTTGGTGTAGGACATCAATTTTACACATAACGGCTGGATCTTTTAAAAAGCCAATTTTGGGCTCTGGTGTTAAATTAAATTTTATATGAATACATGAATTTGAAACTCAAAAACAACCTAAATGATAAAAAGAACTCATCAATACATTTATATTCTCTATCATAAATGATACATAAGTAAGAATTCAACTATTTTTACATCTGCAAGTCAGATGCTATCAAGCCAACTGCCATGTACCATCCATAATCCTCTTACATTTTTAACTCAAAGACAAATAGGAAGATTCAGTACATTTTAATTTCCCAAATGTTCTCAGAAAGAATGATCAGAAGCATCCTCCAGTTGTTTTTTTTTTTTTGAATTTTTGAATTTTATTTTATTTTTTTATACAGCAGGTTCTTATTAGTTATCCATTTTGTACATATTAGTGTATAGATGTCAATCCCAATCTCCCAGTTCATCCCACCCCCCCCCCCCCCTGCCACTTTCCCCCCTTGGTGTCCATACGTTTGTTCTTTGCATCTGAAGCATCCTCCAGTTTTCAAACACAGCTGGGTAAATCCATTTACCCCATGGGAACTACCTGTGTGTGTTGTAAGGTAGCAGTGAAAGACTACGATCCTCGGCGGTAGTGATGCCCTCAATGCGGAAGCCTTCCCTCTTCACGTGAAGCGTGTGAATAACAGGAAGGGACAGAGTCACCTTCATTATCTCCTCAACTATTGGTGTTTTCATAGGATTTTAAATGCCTGATTTCAATTTTACAACAACAATACCAATATTCATTCTGAAAGGTAATCTTATCTTCCAAGTAGCAGTTATTAACAACTTCCAACATGATCTCTAGGAACAATTTGAAGTTCTTTTTTTTTTTTTTTTTTTTTGGCCACACAGCTTGCAAGATATTATTTCCCCGACCAGAGATCGAACCCGTGCCGCCTGCAATGGAAGCGCAGAATCATAACCACTGGCCTGCCAGGGAAGTCCCTAATTTGCGGTTCTGAACCATGCTTTGGAAAAACATTTCCAGCAGTCTGTGCAGGATTTATGCCTATTCCATTATGGGTAATTATTGCAGTTATTGGATGTTGCAGGAACTTTAAATTCTTCTGTTGCGAACTTTAAGACTGCTGTGAAAGGTGTACTTTTGGTAACACAGAGTACTTTGTGGGGCAGCTGAGAGTCTGACGTCAGAGTGATCTTAAAGAAAACCTTTGACATGGCAGAGCCAGTCCAGAGACCCCACCGATTCCACCGGCTAGCCCCACATCCTCTGAAGTGCAGCCTGGCCCAGTCTCCTCCTTTTTAGATATGGCAAGTAAGAGTGCCTACCTCAGAGGGTGGCTGTATGGATTCAGGGGCTCTGCTACTCCTTGGCTGTGTGATCTTGGACAAGTCACTTAACCTCTCTGTGCCTCATCTTCTTCACCTGTGGAATGAGGACAATCATAGCAGGTTGGTGTGAAGGTGAACGGAATTAATCTACAAGGCAAGACCTGACATAGGGCCTGTCTTGGGTAAGAACTCAGGAATGCCAGCCCCAGCTGACGCTGTGCAAAAGTGCTTGGCACAGGGCCAGCCCAAATGCTATGTGTTGAGTGCAATCATCCCTGTTTTACGTTTATTTATTTATTTATTTATTGGCTGCCTTGGGTCTTCGTTGATGCACATGGGTTTTCTCTAGTTGCAGCGAGCGGGGGCTAACTTCATTGCGGTGCCCGGGCTTATTGCGGTGGCTTCTCTTGTTGCGGAGCACGGGTTCTAGGCGCGGGGGCTTCAGTAGTTGTGGCATGCGGGCTCAGTAGTTGTGGCTCATGGACTCTAGAGCGCAGGCTCAGTAGTTGTGGCACACGGGTTTAGTTGCTCTGTGGCACGTGGGATCTTCCCGGACCAGGGCTTGAACCCATGTCCCCTGCATTGGCAGACGGATTCTTAACCACTGTGCCATGAGAGAAGTCCCCATCCGTTTTACAGATGAGGAAATAGGTGCTCAGAAAATCATGGCTTGCCCCAGGTGACATGGAAAGGAAATGTCAAGACCAGGATTTGAATGCAGATCTACCTGGCTCCAATTCCCTCCCACCCCCCACCCCACATACACACACAGTGTTTACCATGTGCCACTCTGTTCTAAGCCTTTTACAGGGATTACTCATTAATCCCCACATCAGCCTCACAAAGTAGGTTACACATGTGAGTCCATTTCTACAGATCAGGAACGTGAGGACCAGAGAGGTTAGTTCCTGGCTCAGGGGTCACACAGCCAACAAATGACAGAGCAGGGACTTGCACCTAGGTCATCTGGCTCCAGTCCCTGCACTGCTTCGTAGTAAGCTTGTGGCAGTTCCAGAACCAACGTCCCGTGTCCTGAGGGCAGAACAATGGGGGGACAAGGACTCAGCTGCCGCCTTCTACCCTGTTCCCTAGAAATACCTGGAGAAGTTAGAGCGTGAGTTTGAGTCTTATTTTCCATCAGTCAGTCAATAACCATTGTCCCGAGTGCCTTCTCTGTGTTCGGGCTGTGCTGGGTAGCACTGGGCACACAGCAGGGACTGAGACTGCCTTGGCTCTGTCTTCCCTCCTGGGTCTTACAGTCCTGCATGGGAGACAGAGAAGTGATGACCCAGGATGGGCATGGCTGGAACATGGAAGTTGCAGGAGCCCAGGAAAGGCGTTTCCTCCAGCCTTGGGGTGGTCTGAGAGAGCCTCCGCAGGAGGGAGCATCTGCACGGAAGCTCGGAGAACAGGGGAGTAGAGAGCCGCGCGGGAATCTGGTGCCTGGTCTACGGACCAACAGCGCCCTCTTCTGGAAGTATCCTTTAGTGCAGCGACCGGTGTACTGCCAGGGTTTGGCAAAGCTCGCCTTGAACCAAATTCGATGATGCTAGAATCCTGTGCGCCCAGCTTTGGCCAATTTATGTTTCTAGGACTTGATTCATTGAGTCAGTCACTCAACAAATATTTATTGAGCACCTAATTTGCGCCAGGTGTTCTAATGCTAAAGATACCGTGCTGACAATACAGAGCCCTGCCCTCAGGGAGCTGGCATTCTAGTGGGGGAGAATCAATAATCTAACACCATAAAATCAGTAGGTAATATTTGCTAAATGCTTCCGATCCATATATTAACGCATTCAATCCTTACAGCCTCGGCTTCCCTGGTGGCGCAGTGGTTAAGAATCCACCTTCAATGCAGGGGACACCGGTTCGAGCCCTGTTCCGCGAAGATCCCACAAGCCGCGGAGCAACTAAGCCCGTGCGCCACAACTACTGAAGCCCGCGCGCCTAGAGCCCGTGCTCCGCAACAAGAGAAGCCACTGCAATGAGAAGCCCGCGCACTGGTATTCCCCGCTCGCCGCAACTAGAGAAAGCCCGCGTGCAGCAACGAAGACGCAAAACAGCCAGAAAAAATATTCTCATAGCCTTTGACTACCCCATTTTACAGTTTAGGGAAACGGAGACAGAGAGGTTACTTGTCCAAGGCCTGCGCAGCTAGTAAGTACTGAAATCGGATGTGAACTCAGCTCAATTTTTAGCCTCACCAATAATGTGATGTAAGACAACATAGTAGTTATAATGTTACACGAAATAATTTTAGGTCCTGCAAAGTTTTGTGAACAAAATCAAGGAGAGAAATGAGATTGTGTTTTGGTGGGAAGGTGTAATTTAGAAGAGACAGGCAAGGGAGGCCTCTCGGAGTAAGCGGCCTTTGAAAAGGGACCAGACAAACGTCGAGATCTGTGTGGAGAGATGTCCAAGCAGGGCGCACAGCCAAGGCAAAGAGCCGGCGGCTGGCACTGCAAGAAGGCCATCCGTCTGGGATCCAAAGTTTCCAAGATTCTAGTTTCGCTGAGACTCTGGTTTCCAGGCCTCCTGCGCACTGGAATCATCTCAGATTCGACGTGCCCTAGAGGCTACCGGCTACGCGCACGCGAAGTTCTGCGGTTGCCTTAGGGCCCGGGCCGCAGCGCTTAACTTTCCCCGGGCGGTGGGCGGGGCCTGTCTCACCTGTGGGGGCGGGGCTCCGGGCCGCCCCACCCACCCCCGGAGGACCCGCCCGCGGCCCGAGACTCGCTGCGCAGCTGGAAGCGGCGAGGCGTGCGCGGCGGGCGGGCGCAGCGCGGCGAAGCAGGACCGGGAGCTGTCTGCGGTCAGGTGGGCGCCGGGAATGCGGGGTGGGAGTCCCAGGAGCTGCGAGGATGGAGGCGAGGGCGGAGGGTGTGGGCTGGGCCTGGCGCACCCCTGGGCCCTCTGGCCTGGAGACGGGGACGGGCCTTGGGGCCCCTGGACGCCCCCTGTCCCCCCCTGGGGCTCCCCGGGGTCTGGAGGCCCAGCTGGGGCCGCGCCTCCTCCGCCGGGCTCAGGTAAACAGGAGCGAGGACGGGGCGGGGCCTGGGGGCGGGAGGGGGCCCTTGTGACGGCCTGGCAGCGGGCGGGCGCGCGAGCGGTGAAACCGGGGTGCGCGGGGCTGGACGGGCCGGCCAGGGGTAGGTTGTGTGGTTTGCGGGGCTGGCCAGGATGGGGGTCTCCCGCCTGCGAGTGTATGTGTGTGTGGAGATGGTGCGTGCGTGTGCATGAGAGATGGTGTACGAAGCTCAGGTGTGTGTGATGGTGTCAGGCTGTGGGTATAGGTGGGTACAGGTGGGTACAGGAGATGGCCTGTCCGTGTAAGCCTGCGAGGGCACAGAGGGACTGCTTGAATGATGTGAAACTGTTTCAGTGATGTGAAAATGTGGGCGACCTCTGTGTGTCTGTAATGGTGTGTGTGTGTGTGTGTGTGTGTGTTTGACAGGGAGTTGAACTGTTTATAGGGTTAGGTGTGTCACCAAGAAATTGTGTGGCCGTGGTTGTCTCTCTGCTTGTAAGACTGGGGGGGTGACAAGGAGGTGGGCACTATGGGTTCAGGATGGATGCGTGGAGTGTGACTGTGAACATCGTTGTCAGCTGCGCGGTTGTGCGCACGGGGCTCAGCTGGTGAAGGGGAGTTTGCTGTTTGGAGGTCGGCGTGAGTGTGGGAGCCAGCGTGTGTCGAGGAAACAGCCCGAGTGATGTGTGGCTGTGCGTGTCGCTCTGTTACTGTGCAGAGGTTGCGTCTGGAACATTCGGCTCAGCTGTCTGAGATTGTGCCTGATGTGGGAGGTTGTATACGTCCGCAAACTTTCGTGAATGATGGTCATGGTTGTCGGGATGACTCAATGAACGGGTGTGGTTGTGAGTTTGACTTGCGTGTGGGGTGTAAGACTACATATGGTGTGATATACATACACACACTTATATACTACGTACACAGAGAGATTGATATATGTACGAACACGTATATACATAGAGAGAGAGAGAGATTGATGGCGATGGAGAGGCTGCGGTATATAAAATCCCCAGGATTACACACCTGCCCTTACTCTGTGTCTGAGTGGATGTGATTGGGAGCATGTGCACAGGTGCTAAAAGTTCTGGGCTGTTTAGGGGAACACAGTGGCTTGAGTGAAGTAAGCCTGAGAGACTGTGTGCGGAAAGCATGGAACTACCTGTGTCTCTACAGCTGTCTGTGCCATGGGCACCCGCTTGTGACGGAGTAAGAGCCTGGCCTCAAGGGTCATTCACACGTCCGCGTGTGAAGCTCTATAGTGTGTCTGTGTGCGAATCCCTGGCTGGCCAGGTGGGGAGGAAGGAAGGAAATGGGGAGGATGGTGACGGGTCCACCGTGAATCCTGGGAGCATGGAGGAGGCGCTGGGCATAGGATGGAGCGCTAGGTGCTGGCAGGACTGTGGGGCTGTGGGAGAGGGCACGTGTTATGGGCATAAAAGTTCAAGGAGACAGTCCCAATGGAAGTGGTTTGGGATTTGGTTATCTTTTTGCAGGTGAGGGGGGCTGAGGGAGGAGACAGTTTGTGTGTTGGCTTTTATTTTGTTTTTAAATTTTTATTGAAGCATAGTTGGTTTACAATGTTGTGTTAGTTTCAGGTATACAGCAAAGTGATTCCGTTGTATTATATATATATATATATATTTCACAATCTTTTGCATTATAAGTTATTACAGTATATTGAGTATAGTTCCCTGTATACACAGTAGGTCCTTGTCAGTTAATCGATTTTATATATGTATATGTTAATCCCAAACCCCTAATTTACCCCTCCCCTTTTCCCCTTTGGTAACCGTAAATTTGTTTTCTATGTCTGGCTTTTATTTCTGAAGGGAAAGTATACCTGTGTGTTGAGTTGTACTTCGCAGAGGAGACTGTGTATGTGTTATTTCCGAAAGAAGAATGTACTTGTGTGCGTGCCTTAGTGTGTTGCGTTAGGTTGTATCAATATTTTGAAAGGAAAATGTGGATGTGCGTGAGGGTGTGCTGAGTTGTATTTTTAAGAGAAAGTGTGTGTGTGTGTCATTTCTGAGAGGACAATGTGTATTATGCTGTATTTCTGAGAGGTGTTTGTGTATGTATGTATGTATGTGAGGGCCCCAGAGGCATCGTCACCAGATGTGTCATTGACCTTGTCACCCATATACAACCCCATGAAGTCCCACATGTGAAACCCCCCCCATCCATTACCATCTGGGCCTCAGACCCTCAGCTGTCACATGGCCATTGTGACATCCATGGGCCACGCCTGCCTCACGTTTGACCCAGCACGCCTTGGGCTGGCTGAGCATGTCTGCAGTGGAGGGTGGAGCCTGTTTCCTCTGGGTCTGTCAGGTCCTCGGGCTCCGGGAGCCACCACACGGGGCCCCCCTTCCTGACCTCCCCAGTCTAGAGGCCTCTGCTTCCAGCACCCCAGCCCCTTGGCCCTCTCCTCCTGCCCCACCCCACCCCCAGTGGTCTGACTGGTTCCCAACAAAAACACCCTAAGAATGAGCTCACAGAGAGGCTGCCGCCTCCACGCATCCTGCCCCACACGCCCAGTGGGCGAGGGCACCTTGGTCCCAAGGTCACACAGCTGGGAATGCTGGGCCAGGGTACCCAGGGTCCTTGGGGTGGGCTGGGTGGGAGCCCTCAAGATGGCTGTTTGCCCTCCTTTGGTTAATCATACATAATGAGGTTTTGGAGTTGCCCTCAGGGCGGGGTCCTGGGCCGAGGACAGGGAAGACTAGGTTTCCAGTTGCCCGCTGGCTAGGATGGGTGTGGGACAGGGTGCTGGCCGGAGTGAGGAGAGCACGGAGGCAGAGGGCTGGCCGGGATGGGCGGACAGGGAGAGGGTTGAGGGGACCTGTGGCGTAAATGGCGCGGAGGCAAGAGGGGCTGACTTGCCTGGCCCTGGCAGTGACCCCCTGATCCCGGTCACCCCCAGAAGCAGCAATGTCCGTGAAGGTGGCGGCCCCGGGAAGCATGGGGCTGGGCCTAGAGCACCTGAGCCCTGAGGAGCTGGTGCAACAGACGCAACAAGTGGTACGGGGGCTAGAGGCCCTGCGGGCAGAGCACCGGGGCCTGGCCGGGCACCTGGCGGAGGCCCTGGCAGGACAGGGCCCGGTGGCTGGCCTGGAACTGCTGGAAGAAAAGCAGGAGGTGGTGAGCCACTCACTGGAGGCCATCGAGCTGGGGCTGGGTGAGGCCCAGGTATGAGGGGGCCAACTCAACTATGGGGGATGTGGCTCAGGCCTGGGGGTTGCCCAGGGATGAGGGGGCCAGGTGTGCTGGAGGGGGCAGCCTGGGGAGAGCGGGGACTAGGGGAGCCAGGCCCGGGAGGGGGAGGCTCCAGTCCTGAGGTGGGATCCCTGGTCTGCATTGGGGATGGGGTCCTTATGTGCGACAGGGACCCCTGAACCACGTGGGGCCCTTCCATGGAACTGTGGGTCCTGGGGAGACTTTGGGGTTGCACGGGTGGAATGTGAAGTATCCTGAGTGTAATTTGTGTGCCTGGGTGACATCAGAGGGGTCCCGGGGCAGGATTGGAGTATGGCCCTGAGAGCCTTTGAGCATCCCTGGAGCCACAACGGAGGAGTCTCTGTATAATCCGGGGCACCCTGGAGAGAATGGGGTGCTCTGGCTTGATCTGAGGCCCTGGGCTGGGTCGGGGGCGAGAGGGACCAGGCCTCTGACTCGCCACCCCCGCCTCCCTGGCAGGTGCTGCTGGCCCTGTCGGCACATGTGGGCGCGCTGGAGGCTGAGAAGCAGCGGCTGCGAGCACAGGCCCGGCGGCTGGCCCAGGAGAACGCATGGCTTCGGGAAGAGCTGGAGGAGACGCAGCAGCGGCTGAGGGCCAGCGAGGAGGCTGTGGCCCAGCTGGAGGAGGAGAAGAGCCACCTGCAGTTCCTGGGGCAGCTGCGGCAGTATGACCCGCCGGCGGAGAGCCAGGTGCTGCGGGACCCAGCGGGGCGGGGGCCATGATGTGCTGGGGACCCTGCACTCCTTAGATACCCCACAGCCCCCATCCCTCCATGGTGCCCCCCAGTGCCCCAGACCCTCCAAAGAACCCCCTGACCCTCTGCAGAGCCCCACAAATCCCAAACCCACTAGAACTTCCACCGAAGTTGGAAGCCCGAGGATCCTCCCCAAGCCCTCAGGAGACCCCTGACCACCACCACCCTCAAACCCTGGGATCCAGGACCCCAGTCTCTGACTCAGACTCCCAAGCCTCATGACACCCACTTTCCTGTCCTCTCTGCAGCAGCCTGAGTCCCCCCATCGGCAGGACAGCCTGGCCTCCCTGTTCCCCAGTGAGGAGGAGGAGAGGAAAGGTGGGTGTGGGGAACTCAGCCAGGAGGATGAATGGCCCAGGCTGGGGGGGATCTCTGATTCGCTGGGCCCCCAAGGCCTCTGAGGGAGGATGGGGAAGGTCAGGGCGGGGTGTCAGGAGAATGAAGCAGGGGGCTGTGGGGGTGACAGCGGGCAGGTGACGCTGGAAGCTGCAAAAGGAGGCCTGCCACGGCCCCAGGAGCCAGGTGGCTCCCATGTTTCTGTCCCGCAGGCTAGGACACATCTCACGGGCCATTAAGATGCCTGTGATTCCAATCTCAGACATCAGAACAGGGGCCCGTGGTCCCAGGGGCCAGCGAGGCAGCTGTAGCTTTGGGGTGCATGTGTCCCCTCGTGCGGGGCTGCAGGAGTAGGAGGCCTGCAGTGACTGGGTGCCCGGCACCCCCAGGTCCCGAGGCAGCGGGGGCCATCTCTGCTCAGCAGGGTGGCTACGAGATCCCGGCCCGCCTTCGGACCCTGCACAACCTCGTGCTCCAGTACACGGGGCAGGGCCGCTACGAGGTGGCTGCGCCGCTGTGCCGCCAGGCCTTAGAGGATCTGGAGCGGAGCTCGGGCCACTGCCACCCTGACGTGGCCACCATGCTCAACATCCTGGCGCTGGTGTACCGGTGAGGGCTGCAGCCGCCACGGCTGGAGGGGGCAGGAAGGGCGGGGACCTGTCGTTGGGCAGAAGCGGGGGGACCCTGGTGTCCTGCTCTGCCAGCATAGGGCACCAGGGGTGGTGGTGGAGAGAAGGGGCAGAGCTCTGGGGAGGCCACTCACTGAGGCCCAGGCAAAGAGGAGTCAGCATGGGCAAGAGAGACCACAGTGGAGTGGGGAAGAGACCTGGGGTGGCAGAGGCTTGGCAGCCAACTGGGAGCGTGGGGACCCTGTGCTAGACCTGGGAGGTATGGGGACCCCCAGAAGGGACCCCCAGAGGATGCCACCCATGCTTGGTCGTCAGGTCTCTGGGCCTGCAGGATTCAGCCCAGCCCATGGCCCCTGCTACCCCAACCTGGCCAAACCCCCTCCACCCTCGGGCCACCCCACAGGGACCAGAACAAGTACAAAGAGGCCACAGACCTTCTCCACGATGCCCTGCAGATCCGGGAGCAGACACTGGGCCGGGAGCACCCCGCGGTGAGCGCAGGCCCAGGAGGGAGGGCTGTGGGCTGTGCCTTCCCACCCCTGACCCGCCTCTCGCGCCCTGCAGGTGGCCGCCACCCTCAACAACCTGGCTGTCCTCTACGGGAAGCGTGGGCGTTACCAGGAGGCGGAGCCCCTGTGCCAGCGCGCCCTGGAGATCCGTGAGAAGGTCCTGCCCCCACCCGGCTCCCACGGAGCCCCTGTCCTGAGTGGCTCTCACCCCTTGATCCCGATTTCAGCGCTTAATTCTGTGGCCCTTGCGTGACCCTGACTTGCTCCTGTGACCTCTGACCTTCTGTGCCCCTCCCATTTGACATCGTGAGCCTCCAATTTGAACCTAGAGCACCCAATCCCCTGACCCACCACCCTTGACATACCAATGACTTCTGTTTGATTTCTGACTCTCATAGGTCACCTCATGCCCCCACCCGGTCCTGACCTTCCAACCCCACGTGACCAGTACAACCCCAACCTTGATCTACCTATTTGACCCATAATCATGAGGTTTTGCACCACCATGACCTCTGACCCAACTACTCCCCAGTTTGACCGGGCAGTTCCTGCCCTCCGCCCCCAGCCTCCTGTAGTTCTCCATCCACTTCAATCCTATAACCACCAACCCATGACTCTCATTACGGCTGTTGGCATCATGTGGCCCGCCAACCCCGGCTGACCCCAATGACTTGTGATCCCATGACTCCTAGGTCCTGGGCGCCAACCACCCGGACGTGGCCAAGCAGCTCAACAACCTGGCCCTGCTGTGCCAGAACCAGGGCAAGTTCGAGGAGGTGGAGCGGCACTACGGCCGGGCCCTGAGCATCTACAAGGCCCTAGGTGGGCCTCACGACCCCAATGTGGCCAAGACCAAGAACAACCTGGTGAGGGCGCCTTGGGGCGTGGGTGTCTTGGTCCTGGGGCCGCGGCACTGGGGAGCACCCATCGGCTGGAGGGTGGGATACCACCGAGGCCAGGGGCCCCACCTCTGCCCAGCCCTCGAGCTGTCCCATGAGACTCGGCTTCCAAGCTGGGCCCTGACTGGTGAGGTTGCTCAGCACAGAGGACACGGAAGCATCAGGAAACAGGCAAGTTGGTGGCAGCCAGAGAACAGCTCCAGTCAAAGAGGAAGCCAGAGAGACGGGCCGGGAGCAGATGAGAGCATTTATTGAGCTAAACCCCCTTCTTAGGACTTTGCCTGTACTATCCGTTTCTTCAAGAGCCCTATGAGGTAGGTGCTCCCGTTGCCCCATTTTGCAGGTGAGGAAACTGAGGCACAGAGAGGTGTGTCACTGGCTCAAGGTAGAGTGGGGAACAGGTTCCTGCTCTGAGTCAGGAAGTCACCTACCCTATGGGAAGTAGGCGGGGTTGGGCTCCAAGCCCACCCTGCTGTCGGCCAAGGCCTGGAGTGTGGGGTAAACCTGGGTTTCTTCCTGTGGGGGCTGGAAGGATGTGCCTGGGTGCAGTGCTGGGGCCTGGGAAGCTCCCAGGTTTGAGCCAAGATCACCCAGGCTATGCCCTCCCCACAGGCCTCAGCCTACCTGAAACAGAACAAGTACCAGCAGGCGGAGGAACTGTACAAAGAAATCCTCAGCAGGGAGGCCCTGCCTGCCCCTCTTGGTGAGCCCCCAGCCCCTCCCCTCTCCCCCAGGGGGCTCCTCAGCATCCCCACCACAATGGCCCCATCTGTTCCCCAGGAGCCCCCAACACAGGCACAGCTGGTGACACAGAACAGCAGGTGAGGACAGGCTTTGCCTCGGCTCCCAGGGTGGAGGTGGGGACTGGATGGAATGGGGGGGACTGACCCGTGTCCCTGGCGCCCTCCCCAGACTTTTCGTCGGAGCAGCTCGTTCTCCAAGCTCCGAGAGTCCATCCGGCGGGGAAGCGAGAAGCTGGTCTCCCGGCTCCGAGGCGAGGGGGTGGTGGGGGCAGCCGGGTGAGTGTTGGGTCAGGTTGGTGGCGGAATCTGTAGCCCACCCCCTCTCCCTGTCCTGCTCAAGAACCTTCCATGGCTCCCATCTCCCCTGCCACACATTCAATCAAACCTGGCGCTGGAGTGGTCCCCCCCAGGGTGGGAGCCAGACACTCCTGGGCTCACTTGTGCCCCACCCACCAACTTTCCTTTGTAGGATGAAGAGAGCCATGTCACTCAACATGCTGAACATGGATGGTTCCAGGGCTGCTGGGAACCAGGTGAGGGGGACACCCGGGTCAAGGGTGGAGTGAGGGGCCACACTGACAGGCCCAGAGGCAAGGGAAGGGTGGAAGTGGTCAGGCTGGCGGTGGAGTGAACGCCAGGATAGGGAGCATGGTTGGCTTTTACTTGGGTAGAGGCGGGGGAACGGATGGACTGGAGTCAGTGTGGACGTGGGGACAGGAGGACGAGCAACGCGGCCATCAGGATAGACAAGCTGGCAGCCAGGCTGCTGGGGAGTAACCCTAGGGGCAGCTGCAGCAGAGCTGTGTCCTGCCCCTCACCCACCCCCTGTACCTGTCCCCAGTTCCCCAGCCGGCACCTGGGCGAGGCCTCTCGGACCCTCAGCGCCAGCACCCAGGACCTGGGCCCCCGCTGAAGGCGACAGAACCACGTGGCTGCAGCTTCTCAGGAGGAGCGGGAGAGGGATGGGAGGAGGGGAGGGGAGTCCTTTCATCTCCCTGACTGCTCCCACCCCTCGGGGGCACCCAGTGTCTTGGGTTTCCCCGCTGTCCTCTCCTCCTGTGATTAAAGGCTGTAGACTTGGCAGCCAGAAGGTCTGCCTGAGGTGTCCTGCAGGGACTTTAAGCGCCTCCCCCGGAGGCGCCCTCCAAGCTACTGGGACCCAGGGCCAGGTAGGGCTCACGAGTCGCGGCCAGCTCCTTTCACGGCCCCGCCCCCACCCCGCTACAGCTGCTGAGCGATCTGTGCTATCCTCCGCAGCGTCTCCTCCGACTCCAGCTGCTCCAGGCTGAGCAGGGACAGGCCCAGCTGGTCCTCCTGGTGGGGGGCGGGGGGTGTCAGCTGCTGACTTCCTAACACAGGGGTCCACAACTCCGTAGGGACAGGTGGCCCGCCCGGGGGGGGGGGGGGGCTACAGGACAGGATGCTTGAATTTCAAAACACCCGTATAACCCAGGGCATCCCGTCCCCAGAGAGCTGTGTCCAAGCTAGAGAAGGACTGGCTTTCCAGAGGCCCACGGCCAGCTCGCGGCTCCCACTGGAGAGACACGCTCTGGCTGTAGCCCTCGACCCTCCCCGCAGTTCCAGTTCCCAGGCCTGGCGCACCGGTGCACACAAACCCCTCTCTGTCGGGGGCAGGGAGCAGGCTGGGCTTGGGACTCGGGGAGAAAGCCAAGGGCCCTTCCTGAAAGAGGAGCTTAGGCGCCGCGGGCTCACCCGGTGGAATGGCTGTGCCATCTGCCTCAGGAAGTACTTGGCGACCTGGACCCCCTCGTCAACGGTCAGGTTGAGGCTGGCGTCGGTGAGGTGCTCCTGGATCCAGCGGGGCAGTTTCCCCCGCTTGTCGGCCCGGGCAAAGCGCTGTGAGTGGGAGAGGGAGGATGTCAGGACCCTGGCAGGGGGAACTCGCAACTGGGGGAACAGCCTGGTTGGCGGGGGCCCCGGAACGCGCACCTTGTCGGCAAAGACCATGAGGCCGTAGTCAGTCTTGCCCCTGATGGCCCGACCCACGCACTGGGCCGCGTGGCGCATGGCATCGAAGGTCAGAAAGTCGTTCTCTCGAATCTGGAACTGGTCCCGAAGGTATTCCAGCCGCGCCTGCGGGTGCAGAGATGGGGGGGGGGGGCAACGTCCCTTCCTCACACAAGTCCTAAGGAGAGGGCCCAACAGAGGCCTTCACGTCCTACCCCCCAGGCGCTGCTCACCTTGAGAATGCGGCTCTGGGTGTAGACATAGGGCACCCCGAACATGATGACGGCCCGGCCGTAGTGGTGCACTGCGGGACACAGGAGGGGGAGTGAGAGGGCTGAACTCGCGGGGCCCGGGAGCTCATGCTGTTTGAGTGACTGCACCCCAAGGGCCCTGCAGAGCACCCAGGGATGGAAGGAAGGGGAGGCCCCCGTGCGTGCCCAGGCTATGGGCCGCCGGTCCCCTGGGGGAGCAGAAATGGCCAGACATCCACGCAGGCGCTTGGGGGAGGGGAGAGCCTAGTCCACTCACCAAAGTCAATTCCCTCAGACACTTTGCCTCGGGCCACCGAGAGCAGGATGGCCCCACGGCCGTTCTCGCAGGCCTGGGGAGGGGAGGCCAGGACACGAGATGCGTCACCTCTGGCCCCTCTCCACCCTGGGCTTTCCTCTTCCCCCGGTAACACCCACCTCCTGGTACTTCTCCAGGGCAACACTGGTCTCAGCCCCATCTTGGGTCTCAATAAAGATCAGCTTGTTCCTTTGGATGTTTTCGAGGATGCCCTTAGGGGAAGACACCAGGGAGGTCAGGGTGTGGGCTGGCAGAAGGATTAAAGGACAGGGGAGTCCTGGTTAAACTCAACTCTGTCAGATTCCCATGCAACAGACCACTTCTCCCCCCAGCCTCAGCTTGCCCACTGGAGGCCTGGGGAGGGAACCAATCCTCATCCTTTGGACGAATGGAACAGGCATGTGGCTCAAGATGGCCCATCGGGATGCAGGTGATAGGTGGAGAGGCCAGGCAGAGCCAATCAGAGGCTGACTTGAGATTTCATATTTGACACTGAAATAGATGTGTGGTACGAATAAAGGACAGATACACAGATGGACCAGTGAGACAAAACAGAGGGTCCAGAAACACCCCCCCACACACAGATGGTCACTTGTGCCACTCAGTGCGGGGAGCTCTTTTCAGTAAGTGGGGCTGGAGAAATTATATTTCCATATGGGAAAAAAATGAATCTTGACCCCTGCCTTACATCATACACAAAGGTAAATCTGAGGTACCTCACAGCCCTTAGATGTGAAAGCTACAACTACAAAGCTTCTAGAAGGAAACACAGGAGACCATCTTTGGGACCCTGGGGTCGGCAAAGGCTTCTTAAATAAGACACGAAAGGCGCACAGGATGTGGCACTCAGGTGGCTGACAGCCGCCTTTCCCACTGTGTGGAAAGAGCCTGAGGACAAGACCAAGGTCTTGGTTGTGCGTGAATGAGGTTCCCACACGTTGCCTGGTGCTAACATTAGACAAGTTCACTCGTCTCAGCCCAAAGAAGTGCCCTAACTTACCCGAGAGCTGGGCGCGTGGTGCATTCAGAATCAGAAAGGACAGGGCGCCCCTTCCCCATCGACATCCTGTTGGGTTGCCAGTGCCCAGCCGTGGTGAGCTCCATTTCCCCATGACCTCACCCACACGCTCCCCAGAAGGGGCTCCTGCAGGTTCTTTGCCCCGAGCCTGTATCCAGCCTTAATTCTCCAGAACCTTCCTCTAGAGGCGCAGCACCCAGCTAGAGTCACACCTGCTACCCAGTGTCTCGACACCAAGCCATATGTGCTGGAGAGACTGTCAGGAAGTAACCCAAAAAACCCATAAGGTGGGATGTGGTCACCTCTCCTGAGGGCCACACCTCTGAGGAAGGGGCCCAGCGAGGCTGCTCATGTCTTAGTTCTTAACCTGGATGTTGGGAGAAGAGTGAACGCTATTTATTCTTTAAACTGTCCATCTGTGTTTTATACGCTGTCCTATCACCTATGATACATGTCACCATTTAAAACACAAGAGGAATGAAGCCAACACACAGGGGAACAGAGCCAAGAGCTGAGACAGGGGCCTTCTGTGGGGTGAGTAGCTGGGCGTACCTGCTCGTACCAGGAGGCCACGGTGCTCTCCATGTACTGGTAGCTGGTAAAGAAGGCCACGATGCCATCGGGCACCACAGCGGACATCTCCAGCAGGAGGTTTCCGTAGTTCCGGATCACCGCTGTGAGGGGTCAGAGGTTGGACTCTCTCCTGGCCTGGTTCCACCTCCCCACTCCCTATCAGAGCGTTCCTGTCTAATGGCTTGTCTTGAATTTGGGTTCCTAAAAACCCCACTGAGGCCTCTGTAGGACTGTTCAAACACATTCTGCTTTTCCTTGGGAGGACGGCACCCCCAAGCCCCTGAAGATAGGCGTGGCCATGTGACTTGCCATGGCCGAATACAGAAAGGGCCACATGTCACTTCCAGGTTGAGAACCTTTACGAGCCAGTTCACAATTCACCATGATCCCTCCTGTCACAGCTCACCACCACAGTGATGTGTCCAATGGTGGAAGTTTCCAGCATGAGACATGGGGCAGGCCCCCACCAACCCATGATGGCACGTACTGTGGGCAAGAAGTACTTCTGCCTAAAGCCACTTCGATTTGGGGGTATTTGTTACTGCATCATGACCCAGCCCACGCTGACTGCTCCACCTCCCCTCCTGGGACCCATACAAACCATCCCCTGTGGGTACCATACCGATATCTTCCCGGGTCTCAAACTTGGAGCTGATGGCCACCTGGTCATTGCCACGGCCAATGATCTGGAAAGAGCAAGAGGGGTCATGACAGGGGAAACAGCAGCCGCTCCAACGTGTGAGTGCAGGTGGCCTGCTAGCGCTGTTCTAAGCTTTTTATAGACACAGGGTCATCGAATGAACCCTCAGCTACGCTGTTATCTGCAAGGCGCAGATGAGTGACCTAAGGCTCACAAAAGGCGTGTCGTGTCGCCCGCCCAAGGTCACAGCAGGGGCTGAACTGAACCGAAGTCTGCCCATGTGTCTCAGCAGCAAGTACCCTCTTAGCCCGTGCCAGCCTCCAGCCAGTCAGTTCAGGAAGTTGCCTCTCACCCCCAGCTCGACAGCCACTGTGCAACACCGCCAGCAACCTCACAGAAGCACGACGCGGTACATGGCCCATGGTCAGCACCAGTCCACAACCCCTGAAGGGCAATTCAGAAGCGAAAACGCTCTGGAAACTCCAGATGTTTAAGTTTGGCACGAACTCCTACAGCAGCAAAACCTGCCCTGAGCCTATTCAGAGTCCTGACGTATCTCCCTTAGCTAGACTCTTCAAAACGTTTGCTGAAATATGACTCTCACTGGAGGGACTTGCCCAGACCCCACTGGCAGTGTTTCCAGTCTGGAAAATTCTCAATTCTAAAACACATCTGGGGAATTCCCTAGTGGTCCAGCAGTTAGGACTCCATGCTTTCACTACTGAGAGCCCGGGTTCAATCCCCGATCAGGGAACTAAGAGCCCACAAGCCGTGTGGCGCGGCAAAACAAAAAACAACAAACAAAAAAAAACACATCTGGCCCAGGGACTTCAGATATGAAACTGAGGGCCCATGTTACGATGTTCATTTTACAAAGAAGGGGACCAAGGCAGAGTGGAAAGGTCACTTAGCAAGGTCACAGCCAGACGATGAACCGGGCAAGGCCACGCTAACCAAGTACCGGGCCCTGGGCCACAAAGGCCTTTCACACCTGTTATCTCACTCAATCCCCTCAACCACCCTGGGAGATCACAGAGGGGGTGTTCCCATTTCACACATGAGAAAGCTAAGGCTTGGGGCGTCGAACTCAGGCCCAGGTCTGCCTGAATCCAGAATCCCACAGCTGCCTGAGAAGTGGCAGGGAGCAGAGGGAGGAAAGGCAGCCCTCATTCCCACCTCCCCTCCCCCATCACCTCACCCTCTCCCACGCACCATGGGGCAGAGGCAGACCCGAGCCAATGTCATGGTGAAGGTTGCCATGGTGACGGGGTGGAAGTCCAGGATCTTGGGGTAGATGTCCAGCGGGGACAGCGTCTGTACCAGGGACAG